ACACACACACACACACACACACACACACACACACACACACACACACAAAAACACTCACAGCCATACACACAGGACTGGGTCAAGTAAGTAAGTGCTGATAAATTTATAATGTCAAGCTACCATTTGCGCGAAGCTTTGACATGACTTACCTCACAGTATGACAAATCTGCTAAGAACTTATTCAAAACACTAAAACTTAAACTTGTGCTAGTTTGCTTTCACTTGTTAGATTTTTCTTCCACAGACATTGATAAACAACATCAAATCTAAACGATTCGATGTGAGAAGTCTTTATAATTCTCATGATCCACTGAGAAAGCTCATAAACATATTGAGCTCATGTCTAGTCCGTCGTAATTCATTAGTGGGTGTGTATCTTTACATGCTTACCAAACACATTAGGACATGTACAGTATAACACACACACAGACACACATACAGGGATGGATGGATGGAAGCAGTGAATGTGGTGCTTATGAACTAGTAGTTAAAAGAAAAGAGCAAACAGTGCATTGATGACAGGGAAGGTAGATGAAGAGAGGAGGATGAGGATGGGGGAGGGTGTGGAGGACAGACACTGGCGCCCCGCCAACGTTGACGAAAGCAGCTTAGCCCACCCAGTTGCCATGGATACAGTAAGGAGCAGCATGTGTGTGTGTGTGTGTGCCTGTGTGAGAGAGAGAGAGAGAGAGAGAGAGAGGGAGGGGAGGGAGGCAAGCAGAGAGAGAAAACCAGCAGGCTGGCGTTAGAGCAAGTCAGAGTGGGAGTGAAAGAGCACCAGCCAACAGGGTAGAGAGAGAGAGAGACAGAGATAGAGAGAGGGTGAGTGTATGTGTGGTCAGAGAGAGAGAGAGAGAGAGAGAGAGAGAGAGAGAGAGAGAGACAAAGGCTGCTGGAGAGCTTGAGGGAGACGATAGAGTGCTAGATAATGGAGGTGCAGACGGAGTGTGTGGAGCCTCCGGTGGCCCCTCAGTGTGACCCCCAGCACACGGGGAAGATCAACAAAGCTGCCTTCAAACTCTTCGGAAAGCGGCGCACCGGGTCTGGGATGACCAGCTTCTTCTCCTTCAGGAACAAAGGGGCTACAAACAACGGGAGCAACGGGAATTCTGACAATGGGAATTCTTTGAATGGAAATGGCTCGGCGGCATCGGTAGAGCTCGTTCGGAGCAAAACCCACGATGGACTAACAAGCTCTAATAACGATGCTGATGGACAGAGAGGGGAAGGGCTCGCCATCCTGGAGGCAGGGCCGGTGAGGTCCCTCAGCAAATCCCTGAGTTTCTTCTCTCTACTCCGACGTGGGACTTTTAGGTCGAGTGAAAATGGAGGGGCAGGGCTTGTTAGAAGAGGGAGGGGCCTAAAGGGCTTTTTTAGCAGCATGCGATGGAGACGCAAGGAAAAAACAAACGAGGGTGAGGGGGAAGAGGTGGAGCGGAAGACGGAGAAGGATGGGGATATTGCCGACTCTGAAAAGGTGAAGGATATTACCCTCACCCTTGAACCCCCTCCGCATCATCACCAAGTGGATTGTGGGAATGCAGAGGCATCACCTAACCCGGAGACTCCCACTACTAGTGTTACCATGACACCCCCACACTGTGTTGCCATGCCAGAGCACTCTATTGAGCCAGACTCCCCCTTTCCTTACACACCCACTGACTCGCCACTGCGCCCGCCCATCCAAAAAGCCAAAGCCTCAATATCCAGCCTCACCCCCTCCCTCGCTACACCCCCTTTGGATCGCTGCAGCACGGGTGACCCACCCTCAGAGCCTTCAGTGGACCGCCTCTGCTCTCTCCTCTTCACTGATGTCACATCCCTTAAGAGCTTTGATTCCCTGACAGGCTGTGGTGACATTATTGCTGACGCAGATGAGGAAGGTCCAGCGGGTAACGGGGGCAGTGGCACCAGCAGCAGCAGCAGTGGGGGAGGAGGTGGGAGTGTGGGAGCGGGCATTGGGAGAGCTGTTGGTATCACCAGTGCCACGTCACGTGGCTCCCCAACCAAACCCTTGCTACCGTCACACCTGACCCAGCCCATGTTCTCTGTTCCCACAAGCTCAGTGCCTTCTTCTTCCCTCCCAGCCCGGACCCGGGCACCACCTCCACCACAGCAGCACCCAGCTGGCAGTGGTGTGGTGGCCTACATGGGCGGAGGGGAAGAAATGGCAAGTCCAGAGGGAGTGGACGATGCAGACATGCAGGGGCTCTGGCACATGCTGCCCTCAACAGGGGACAACTCTCCTGCTTTGCCTCGATCACATCAAACTGCCTCTACCACCCCAACTTCTACTTATCCCCCTCGTGCCCCGTCCAACCCCGCCAGCAGCCTCCTGCTCTCAGCCCACAGGAGCGCAGACCGCAAGTTACCCCCGGTGAAGGCATTGGGGCTCAGTAAGATTCCAGTAGTTGGTGCAACAGGAGGCCGGGCAGCTAAACCCCCCATCCCTCACACACACGGCCGTCATCCCACATCGCCCGGAGAAAAAGAGCCACTCAGTGATGAGGGTTACTGGGACACACCCTCCGCAACGCCCACAGCGACACCTGACGAGAGCGGGCTGCAGCGTAACCAGAGGACGGCCCTATCACGCGACAGTTGCTCCGGGGACCACCTGTACGACCTCTACAATGACCCTGAAGAGGTAGGAGAGGATGAGGAAGGAGATGAAGATCTAAACAGTACTCCCTCTCCATCCACTGAATACAAACTAAGCCCCACCTCCCAAACAACTCCTCCTTCCTCCTCCTCCTCCTCCTCCTCCTCCTCCTCCTCCTCCTCCTTCCAGTCAATGAAAGGCAGCACAAGCCTTCCTCGGGAATCCAAGATCCCAGTAAGCAGCAGACAAACCTCCCCACCTCCCCACTCTGTAAGCCAGTCAGCCCTCTCGTCTGTTCTAGAGGCTGAATCCCCTCCACCAAAGACCCAGGAACCTCCCCCGGCTCGCACCAGAATCCCTGTATCCAAGGTGCCAGTCCGTCGTTCTGGAAACAAACCTGGCAGCACAACCAGAGGAAGTGCCCACAAGAAGTAGCTCCTGCCAAATAGGGGGATTCTTGCCCACTTACTAAAAGACTTGAGTGTACATCACTTCAGTGCTGTTGATGCAGAGCCAAAAAGACCCAGACCGAGAAAAATGTTGAGCTGTAGAGTTAACAGCCTATAAATTCCTCTGAAATCTTAAAAGCTCTCATTCCTCAAGTGTTTTAGCTGACGACAGGCTGGGATAGAATAGGTGGTTTTGTTCACTTGAGAAAGTCACGAGGAGACTCAAAAAGCTGGGTTAACACTTCACAGCCCTCACAGGAACTTAAGAGGTTGATTTTTGACAATCCATGGACTCGCTATAGACACATTTGCCTTGTAACTTCCTGGAAAAGCTCCTGACCTGCTGAGAGTTTGACAGCTCATGATTGCACACTGCAAAAAAAAAAAGGAAAAAAGCAGAGCACCTTTTATCTTTTACATTTTTGTTATGGAACACCACACGGCATAACATAATTTGCTTATACGGACCTAATCTAATCAATGTTATTTTTTCTAAAATTGTCCTCTTTTCTAATCTGTAACAATTTACCACCTAATCTTTTGATTTTAGAGCCAAAGTTTAAAAAAAATCCTCCTCGTTTCCCTTAAACAGACTCAACGAGACCCACGGCCTGGAATAACCCACCATTTTTTGTTTGGCTGTTTTTTTGCTTTTTGAAGATGGTATTTATCTGACCGCACACTGATTATTAAACTGTATGTGCAAAAATACAAATGAACACTGAGATCTGGTTTTATTATTTACCTACTTTGCAGCTACAAATGCGGCAAAGTTGCACGACAGAAGGCTTCGCAATATCTTCTTTTCTTTTTTTGGGAGGGGGAGACCCTCTCTGTTTTGACTGGCTATTATTATTATTATTGTGGACGGACTAAGTTTGGCTTCAGCCTGTTGCATCTGGATTTCACTTATACCGCACTGCATCACTCAAAGTGCATCCATAGGATGTCAATCTCTGGGATTTACAACTGTTGAATAACCAATGAAAAACCTGCAGAACTGTCGCAATACTCAACCTGGAGGGATCCCTTGCACTGATGCTTCAATATACACACACACACACACGCACACACAAACACATACAATTTCAGACAGGCACACAAACATTCTCTCTCCCTCTCCGCATGCAGTGCCACACATACAAGGCACAAAGGTCAGGGAACATCATCTATTATTGAATGACCTTAGTTACACACACAGTTCAACCTTTGGCACTGTCTTAGTAGCTACACTGGATGACTTTCTTCTCCAAGGACATGTGCACAAACAACCTTTTTTTTAAAGTTAGTACTTTCTTCTTCACTGGATTTCTACTGTTTCTATACAGTAGACTCCTTCGTCATAAGTCATACTGCTCGGATCTTAAACTGTGACTGCACCATCTTCTTAATGCTCTGCTTTCTGTTCTTTACTACGAACATACTGTACAAGCTGATGTGAGTGGATGACAGGGAGGCATCCTTGCTGTCTGCCAGATTTAGAGAGCCAGAATATGCCTGCAAGTGTTTTAAAATAGGATGTGACCCAGAAAGAACATACTTCTGAGTCACATAAACTGGATCGCAGCTAAAAAATGCAAAGCAGAACTTGGGGACTAATGCCATATCAGCTCAGAGTGCTTCACCCTCACTCTCTATGCTGTTGTACTGGCAAACATTGTACAACTTCATTATAGGAACCCCCGCAGCTGTGTGTGAATCTGAATGTAGCTTGGTCTCATTGGCGATCATTGGTCAGCTGTGTTGGTCTCTTTTCCTCTATGTCCCTCTTTTGTGGGGGCAACACAAATGGTGGAGTTTACTGTATTCTAGGTCCCCCGCGCTCTGAAAAATGACTTTGTTGAGCCTCGCAAAGCACCACTTGTTTTAAGAATGAGGGGGTGTATTGCAGTCCTGAAAGGCCTTTGTCTATGATTCAGTGAGACAAGTTAAAGAGAGCAGAGTGTTCCTTACCCTTCAGTTACAGAGAGGGGTTTTTAGTAGGGAAAGACATTCGAGATGATGCACGTTTTCTCTAATCCTAACCACAAGGATACCAACCGACACTTGAGGGTCATTCTAGTTCATGATAGTTTTCTGTCTCATTTAGAATGTGATGATTGATCCACAACACTGTTCCAGGTTCAGATATCTTTTCAACCTTCTAATGGTGTAGTGCAGGACAGGCCATGGGGTAACCTGATCCCAGGCCTTCAGTAAGTGTGTTCCTCCTCCAATGAAAAAAGGGCAGGCTAAAGGTCATATAGGGAGCAGAGAAGGATCACGTCCGTTCATGTTTTCTCTGGCTACACTGTGCTCTGTGCTCTTTAGATTTAGTATGCAATAGCTTTCATTCTCCCTACTTTGGAGTACTGATTGACAAAAGAGTGATGGATGGATGATTTTGGGATGATTGAAATGGGCAACAATTCAAACCTTTAAAGTATTCCTGGTAAAATAATAAAAAAAGAGTATTTTTTTTTTGTAAACAGCTGTGGTGACGCTTGTTGATTGTTAACCAAAACAGTTGCCCTGAGAGTCTAAAAATTATAATTCACTTTATGACACTGTCACCAATCAAATTATATTGCTGGTAAGATTAAGAGAAAGTAGGGCGCTATGAACTGGACAAGGAATGATCATTATGTTCGGTTGCTGTCCCACATGCTGCAGTTTGGTGTTTTAGTAGAACTAGTTTCTCCACTTTTTCCAAGTATGACAGTGAAAAGTAAAGTTTAGGTACCTTGATCCGTTGCACTGGCCTAAACACATCAACCACAGAGACCGTCATATTGCCATCTGGATCAGTTCCTTATTTGTTTTGTAGACGCTTCTCTCCTTTCTTTCTGATTACAAATCTGGGCCTTTAGGTGGTCATTTGCTGTGATGGAAAAGCACATTATGTTTTTCTTTTTTTATTAACCGTCTGTCTGTTTACAGTGTGAAATCTTTCCACTTTTCATATTTAATGAATAAAACTGTTTGCGCTGATAGATGAGCTCCTGACTCTTTGTAACTGCATTTACACAATAATCCATACACTTCAAGGTCAGACGTATAATTAGAGCAAAATCAGATAGAGTCCTTCTTTCATCCCCCACCCCCCCTCAATCATTCCTCCCCCACATCCTGGTGGCTTGAATCTCCAAGGAGTAGGTTGGGTGTGAGAGAGGGTGCAAAACAGGGGTGCTTTTGTTGATGTGCAGCATGTGGCATTTGTGTTGTGGTGTCACACTTGGAGAGAGGTCTGCTTGGCTTGGGAGCAATAGGTTATCAATACATTATATTGATTGCTGAGATGAAAGCCTGATGGATGTGTCATTGTCTGCTGTTGGTCTCCAGTGGGTTAAGATGCGTAAAGACGGGGACAGACAGCCAAAATGATGACAAAGACAGGCAGATGATGCCTGTGGATATGGAACCCGTGTGTTTGCCTCTATGTGTCATGAATATAGATGCAAGGGAGGGTCTCATTGTTTTGGGGCAGACACATGTTGCTATGGAGAAAGCTCATATGTTGTTGTGGTGTGGGTGCAAATGCATGTGTAGTGGGAGGAGGATTTGGTGCAGTGCGAATCCCCTTTGTAATGGTGCAGCAAACCCCCCTCCCTCTATCCAGTTCTCTCTCTCTCTCTCTCTCTCTCTCTCTCTCTCTCTCTCTCTCTCTCTCTCTCTCTGTTTCTGCACACTGAGGCTTATGTAAAAGCCTTACGTAAGACCATAACACTCACTTGTACCGGCCCACCAGATCAAAGCTAGTGATGCCGACAGTGAGAATAGATTGGTGTGTGTGCTGGTGCGCGCACGCGTGTGCCTCGGCTGATCTCATGATTAATCTGCTGCTGCTCGGTGTGCTGGATGTGGATACTCGTCCTCATTGTGAGCCATGTTGGATCCTGTGTGTGCGTGTTTGTTTTGGTGCATTAATCTGGTATAAAGTGCACGACAGACAGGGAGCATTAAGTTTGTGCTGAACAATGCGCTTCTTATATGAGCTGTTGAAGAGAGCAAACATGTGAGGAAGTGAGAAAGAAATGCAAAGTAAAAGTGAGAGAACAAGATATGAGTGAGGGTTTGTCTGGCTTCAATGGTCTTGAATGAAGCTTTTTAGCCAGCTGGTATAGCTTTTGACGAACAACAGCCGTAAGTGGCAATAACGACATAATGGTACAGCTAAAGCTTTCTGTATTAGTAACACAAGAAGAGAAGATTAGATTAGCAAACTGACTCAGTAATGTAAGTTACTGCAATACCTGTCTATTGTTTGCTAGCATTAGCTGATATTAGCCCCCAGCTAAGCTAAGCTACACAAGAACAAGAAGAGGCTGAAGTGGCAAAATCATGGGCAAACCCATGAGAAGGAACACGGGTGAATTGTTATACTGGAATGTGAATTATTGCTAATGAGCTTTACTTTTTTTCATTTTTAAGAATACGAATTTCTTCTTTAAAAAGTAGCATGGTCTTTAAAATGAGAGGTATGAGTGCTTTATCATTCGGTTATTGTATCATCAATTATGAGTGTGTTGTAATAAGATACTGGTGGAGAAAAATACTATCACGGAGTAGAGTCGTACTGATATTTCTAAAAATAATATGATGATAGGTATAGGGTTTCCTTGCCCTGTTAAGTGTGTGTGTGTGTGTGTGTGTGTGTGTGTGTGTGCGTGTGTGTGTGTGTGATGGAGCCCTAAGCACCATTCAAAAGCTGTACCCCACATTTCTCATGGCAGCTTCTCTACAGTCGTTCCCATAGTAACTCCACTAGGTCAACCAATGAAAAGAGGGGGCTGGGCAGGAAAGAGGATGGGCGAGTGTTTGGGGGGTTGCTGACACAGTGTGTGAGAACCGTGATTGGAGTTGAACATTTATACAGATAAAAACACACACTAACCTACATGTTGTAGTGCACATGCACATACACTGTAGTCAGGCGTTTAGCACACGTCAACAAGTCATTAAGAGGTTCCACTTCGTACCACCGGTTTTCACCTCTGCAACCTCATGGGAAGCCCCCAGCATCACCTCCACTACCACCATCATTTTTCCTACCCTATACCTCTACCCCACCGCACTTCTCTCGCTCCCTTTCGTATGACGCCACGGTTCCTCTGAGGGCATTGTTGTGTAATCCTTCCACTTGTCAATAATTCATCAGAAGACAAGCTGTTGCCTCTGTGAATGGGAAGACGGGAGCATGCAGAATAGTGGCACACTGGGAAAGGCTTTATAGCACCGCAGCCAAATCTGGTGTGTACTAGTTTACTGGTGAATGACATATTCTGACTTTGAAGGGATGAAGCGACAGGAAACATGTGTTCCAAACTGAATGGGACCTTGTGAGCAGCAAAGCAGGAATATGAATTGAATTATGAATCACAAGATAAATGATGGCTAGTTGGTCCCTCTTCCAAAGTGGGTTGTGTTGCCTCTCATTTAAATTTTATTTATTGGTTTATTTGACAAGGGACAGTGCACACATTGCTGTAAATGCGCCAGAGTTAGCCAAGAGGCTATTTTTCATCTGTAGTCCAAAGGCAGATGTTACAAAGTAAACCTAAAAACAGAATATAAGATTAAATTTACAAAGTTATGCAATATTGGCCCTTTACAATGCGTGCAGAAACAGTGAAAGAAGTGAACATATTAATATAAGTAGTATCATCATTCAGGAGATTCTTATACTACATTGTCAAGTACTAACAAGACTGGACTGTCAGGTCATGTTTCTCTAACCCCTAGGGCCTCCAACTGTACCTGTTGCTAGGAAGGGAACCTGAATAATGGGAGAAACAAAACTAGTAATACAATCTGATATGAGTTGGAAACTGTACTCAAACAGATCATTCCAGCTCTTTGTAACCCTGAGGAGGAAGAGTCTAAGCGACACAGAAAACTAAACTGGAACTACATGAAAAACACAGTTTAAAGTCTTAGTTATTTTAGAAAATAAAAGTAATTGGAAAAAAACAACAACTACATACTTCATTTCTGAAATGCCCTTATTATGTTGCTGTGGATACTTTTCCTGCTTTCACTTTGGTTACAACGAGTGTTTCTAATACACGTCACCTGATATGAGCCAAGACAATTATAACAGAAGCCTTGCATGAACCTTGCAGAACTTAATACACCCCAGCAAAGTTCAAAACTGCAACTGACAGCCAGAAAACTTTCCATTTGGTGAAATATTGTTTTCTATACCAGTAAAGAAGACCTCTAAATATGCTGAGTATAGAGTGGTGGTATGGTAAATAATGTTTGATTTCCGGTTTGCAAGCAAAATGTCACTGAGAAAAGCAGACAACATTTGCGGTGTGCTCATTATAATTTATTAATCTTACATTTTCTTTCCACTGTCATCTTTTATTATTATCGACTGCCTTATTTGTTAAGTGTCTGTCATTCCCCTGTTTGTTTTGTTATGCCATGTGCTTGGTGTTATTTTCTCGGCCTGCCTCCAGACACCTCCCATTGCCACCGCCCTGATGGATGCACAGCTGCGGACAATCTGGCTCGTTACCCGGCAGCTTATCAACCCTGGTCTTGCAGGCCTGGGTTATCAGTCCATATTGTCTTCTGCCGCCGCCGCCGTCACCGCCGTCGCCGTCGTCGTCGTCGTCGTCGTCGTCGTCGCCGCCGCCGCCGCCGCCGTTCCGTAAGTTGAACCCCGTTGTATATTTCCGAACTAATCCCTCTCCTCTCTGCTACGGGTGTAGAGTGCTGGTCGATCTGCGTACTCTCCGGTGTCGAGCCACGGGACTCACACCGTCAATCCACCTTCCCTCCGGTGTCGGACCACGGGCTCCACACCTTCACACACCATCAAAATAAAATCTGTTACATCGGACTCTGTCTCCTGTGGTCTTGCGTTTGGGTCCTACCCGTGAACTCCCGTGACAATTACAAGATTAATTTAGTTTTGATGTTCACGGGCAAGCTCAGTGCTGGACCATAGTGGCCATACATGTCATTAGAGTTCTTCTCAATAGCTTAGGACATTTTCTAAAACATTATTACAGTTCACAAAACAAAGTTAATTCACCACATGAGTTATGTAGAGCACTGCTTCGTTGCAAAAGCCCATGTATAACTTAAAGCAGTAAACTCGTCTTCCTAAAATAATTAAGATACATCAACCTGTGCATCACTGCCACCAAAAAAATGCCACCTTTTCCCGCATTCCAGTGTGTTCATTGAGAACCTACAGTAATGTCAAATACAAAAAGGTTGTTACTGCATTGTACAGTGAAGAAAATTGTCTCAATACAAAATTATTACCATTTAGAAAAATATTGTGTGAATGACGCTATAT